CTTCTCCTCCTTGGGTTGAAGAACTGTCTTGAGTGATTTTGACTAGTTCTACTCAGTGCCTCAGCACACCTCACGCAGCACAGTGTCCACTAAAGACTCATATTCTACTCCTGGTGGGAGTCATTACTATTCTAGATCAGAACTATTCCGGTGCATATTGATACCAATAGTTCTCAGTTTAAGTCATCACATGAGCATTCAGGTATGTGATCGCAAAGGCAAACTATAGATGTGCTGAGGTCCCCCATCAAGAAGGTGATTTCTTCGAAACAGAGACACGGCCCTTTTCATTATAACTGTAAACAGGATCCGATGACTGGCACACAAGGGTAAGACATCCCTTTGTATGGTAATCTGTCAGAGCGTCTTTATCACCATGCCAACTGGAAGGACTGTACTGTTCTCTCTGATCGAAAAGTTGAAAACAATGGCTGAAAAGAAACCATATTTATTTTCCTGCTATAGGAACAGAAGATAATGATTTGGGTATAGCACCTCTCGAGCTGTGAATGTAGAGAGACCACATCCAGTTATGTATTTGTCCACTCTGCTGAAAGAGGGGTTACCCAGAGCGCTGTCCCCTCAAGGTCAGTCGGGGGCCCAAGCTCAGAGGGGGTGACTCGCTCCTGTCTATACCCCACTGGCTGTGAGGAGAGACCACTATGGCTGGCTGCAAGTCAGCCCGCCTCTGGATTTAATCCTCTCCTCTTCAGGGGTCTTTGTCTCCTGGTTCCCACTGTCACTACCCCTGCTTTTCTTTCTCTTTTTTCATTTTTTCCAGTTCTCTCCCTCCCCGGGGTTGTCTGTCAAGACTCTCTCAAGGTCAGCTTGCTCTATACATGAGCTGGACACCAGCAACCGTCACTCTCCTGCCGTTAAGAGCAGCCTGCCCCCCGGCCACCCTGAAAGTTTTACTGCCACCTCTCCTCACAGACCAGCTGATGGAGGCCCGTCGGGGGTGCGCTTGTGAACGTGATACCTGGAATGAGGCGGCCCTTCCTCAAGGCTGCAGGCTCGTCAGCTGCCTCTTCTCCCCAAGCTCATTTCTTTCCCCAACTCTCCCCTCTGTTCCCTACAAGACGCAATAGTGTGTGTGTCTGTTGGACTCCAGACTCCCAGGGCCTGAGACGGGATTTCAGGATTCCGATGCATTCACTACGGTCAGGACGACGCCCTCCTGACCTTTAGCCATCACCTCGGGTCTGCCCGACACCGAGGCGCACAGCGTTCCTGACAAGAACTGATACGGGATCCAGGCCAGGACGGCTCTTCACCTACCAGCCATTGAGCACCGCAGATAAAATTTACATAGAGCATTTGTGTCTGTAAGTCCTGAGAAATTTGGGAAATTAGAAGGGGCCCCCTCCCTTTCTTTCAAAAAGCATGTGAAAGCATTCTTTCCCCGCTAAATGGATTTACTCTAACTGCCTCATTCATTATGCTAAAACCATGAAGCAATTTCCTGTTCAAAGCCCAGCTCACAGGCTCTCTGTTGTCAAGTATTTGAATTTCAGATTAGAAATGTGTTCATTTGGATAGCTTGAAAGGGAAGCTTTGTTGTCAGCCTGGCTTTATGTTCTGCCAGAAGCCAAATCCCTCCTCTTCAGCAGTCACCAGCAAAATACCAGACCTCAGCTCCGGACTCAATGTCTTGAAACAAACACAAACGCCTCTGGCCCCCGTGGTCAAAGCAGTGGTTAGAGGTTCGCTTGCCCTAATCATGCAGTTCTCTCAGATGACCATTTCTGCCAGATGGGGGCAAATACTGAGGTATCCACCCCGCTCCCCCCAACTCACCACCATCACATGTCACACTGAAGCCGTGGGCTCAAGTAGGGGCGGTCTTTGTCAGCCTTGACTTGTCCCTGAGCGTCATCCACACTGGGCAACCCTGTTCCATCCGCTTGCACGACTCGTGTTTCTGTCCCCTGATGGATTTTGGGAAAATACACAAAGCTGCTCAGTCAGGGCAGCTCTTGAGGTGAAGAAACCCATCTAGACTGGAGGAGGAAGATGTGCATTTGATTGGCTAATAGTCATGGGAGTTCTGAGGGAGGAGAGATCGAGGCCCTCATTCACCTATTCATCGCACACAGTTTTGATGTTGCAAGATGCTCCATAATTGTCATGATTTGGTGGTGTGATTGCGCTGATGACCTATGAATTGATGTGTTATCAATACAGTGCTTATCTCCGGTGTCATCATGCAATATTTTGGGGTGGTTTTTTTTTTTTTTTGGTTGGTTGATTTAGTTTTTCATGTTGTACACCCTCTAGTTCTCTCATCACCGCTGCACCTGCGACCCATCTCCCTCATTCCTTGTTCACTTCCCTGCCCTGTTTTGAGAGCTGTATTCCTGTATGCTGTATGCCTCAGATCTGCGGGCAGCTTGCATGTTCTTTTTCTTGACCTTTTACTCAGTTTCTCTGTATTCCACATATATGTGAGACCGCATGATATTTATCTTTTTCCTTCTGACTTATTTCGGCTAGCATGCAATGTTTTTGATGGACACTCAGATCACTAACTAATATTTGTTTGGTGCTTTACAGTTTACATATGGCTGTCATCCACATCACCTCACTTCTTTGTATTCTGCCAGATGATTTTTTTTATGCTTTCTAAAAATTGCAGTGTGGTTGACATACACATAGTATTTGTTGCCACTGTACAATGTAAAGATTCATAATTATATATATTACTGAATAATCACAACTATCCCAGTTAACATCTGTTACCATACACAGCTAAAAAAATTTTTCTGACAAGCAATTTGAGAATCGACTTGCTTAGCAGCTTTCAAATACGAAACACAATATTGTTGGCATCGTCTCCATGCTGCACCTCACAACTCAGGACTCGTATATCTTACACCTGGAAGAGTGCCCTTTGACCCCTTTTCTGCCTCTTTCCCAGTTGTCTTTCCCAATTCTGGCAAACTCCTTTCTATTGTGTGTCTAGAGTTTCTCAGTTTGATTTTAAGTTTCCACATGTAGTATTTAGCTTTTCTCCATCTGATTAATTTCACTTGTCATAAAGCCATCAAAGCTCAACCATATTGTCACAAGACAAAATCTCCCTATTTTATGTCTGTGCGTGTGCATGTGCGACTTCTCCATACTGTTTTCTGTAGTGGCTGCGCCAATTTACATTCCCAACCTACAATGGGAATGTAAACCCTTTAAAAAGAGACACTCTATGGGGGGTGGTGGGCGGGGAAAGGAGAGCTTGGGGTCAAAATAAGGGGGTGGTAATTGTACCGGGAATATAAAAAATAAAATTTAAATAAAATGTGAAAAAAAAAGTCTATAGGTGTCCATTCATTCACTCACTATCCCTTCAAAGTGCTGGAATCTAGGGCCTCCCTGGTGGCTCAAGGGGTTAAGACGCAGCCTATGAAGCCGTCCGCAGCCTCTGCAGCACAAGTTCAATACCCCTGCCAGCCAGGGAGCAACCCACATGGCGTGGCAGACCTCTCCTATCTCACCTGCTGCTCCCCTCAGCAGTGTGTTTCAATTGATCTGCCTGTTCTGCTCCCCACTCTGTCTCTGGTGAATCCTCTCACCTTCCTGCACTTCTGGCCTGTACCCCAGTTCTTGCATAAATAAATCTTAAAAAAAAAAAGGGTTTCTCTTTTCTCAACTACAGTTTCAACACTTGTTTCTTTTCATTTTGATAATAGACATTCTACTAGTTGTGAGCTGGTCTCTCTCTGGCTTTCATCTACATTTCCCTGCACACTATATGTCTTCCTTGGGGAAATGATTACTAGTGTCTCTAAGCTGCTTTCATAACTAGAATTTGTTATCGTTGCTATTGAGTTGATGAATTCTTTATAGAGGTTGAGTATTAATGGCTTATTAGATACAATTTACAGATATTTTCTCCCCTTTGATAGGCCACCTTGTTCATTTTCTTGATGGATTCCTTCACTGCACAGCAGCTTTTTAGTTCAGCATAATTCTACTTGTTTATTCTTGCCTTTGCTTTTGGTAGCGAATCCAAAAATCATCTAAGACCAATGTGAAGGAGCTTACTACCTGTGTTTCCTTCTAGGATTTTTATAGTTTCAGATCTTACATTCACGTCTTTAAGCCATTTTGACTTAGGTTTTGTGGCTGGTGGAATGGATTGGTCTGGTTTTATTCTTTCATCTGATTGTTCAGTTTTCCTCACATCACTTGCTAACACACTATCCCTGCCCCTCTGTGAGGCCTCTGTTGTACATTAGTTCAGAGATGTGTGGGTTTAATTCTGGGCGTCCTTTTCTGTTCCATTGAGCTATGTGCTTATGCCACAATATTTTCATTGCTAGGCCTGTGATGATAAAATCATTCTTTATACCATTAGCACTATAGGTTCTTAGCCTGTGCATTGAAAACACAACTCAGTGTTTCATCATCTGCATAATTCAATAGATTTCACCTTGTTCACTTTGAGGTACTCCCCCTTCCTTAAGGATCGTTTTCTTACTAGCAACCCCTGTGACTTAAAAGCCAAATTCCCCCCGTAGTTTTTCTGTGTGACTCTGATTTAAATAGAGGAGAGATCAGTCACAGAGTGAAGGCCAGTTCTATTAAAGTCAAAAGAGACTGAAAGTGACAGTTGAGGCATGGACGCGAGGGATGAAATTTAGGGGCCGCTGGGATGACAGCCCATGTTCTGGCACTTTCTGCAACAGGCAGAGAAGAGCAGCACACGCTGGGGCTACAGGTTAGTGGGCGGGGCTTTGTACATGTTTCACAGCTGACGTTCACCTGCTAGCAGACTTGGCAGGAGTGTAAAGAATAGCCGTGCCACTGATGGGAACGGCCTCGAAGGTGACGGCGGAGACTGTTCTTCTCCGGGGTCACTCTCCCATTTATACCCAAGTGCGTGTGGAGTGCAGAAGCCAACTCATTAAGAAAGAGCATAAATGTTCTTTAAGTGAAGAGCTACCTTCTTGGAAGAGCTAAAAGGAATGGGAAAGGGAGACGGAAAGGTTAGGTTCAGCCTCATTTAAAATATATTCGAGTATGTTCAAGATCTGTTCACAGCATGGGGTACCACTTCTGCAAAGACCCTCATTTGTTGACATGCCACCGTGTTTCCATACGATTCCAAAGGATCATCAAATGAGCAAACCTTGTTGCTTTTAAGTATTTTCTGAGCTTAGTGTATTTACTACTACAAACCTTGACAAGAAGAGGGATTAATACAGATGCGAGTCCACTATTTACTTTCTACAGGTACAGTTGCCAGGCAACCATCACAGTACAACACACAGCGTTGTCGTTATGGATCCGCCTCCCTCTCCTGCACCTCCTTTAGTGCCCAAATGAAAAACAGTGTTGGCAACGATGACACTTAAAAGGGTTCATCCTCCAGGCACTCTCTCTTGTAGAAATTGCAGAATACTCTGGAGCTGGGGAAAATGATTCCATGTTATTAAAATATCCTAGTTCGGTAGAGAAAATGCACTTACATTAAGTCTGTGACTAAAAAGATAATACAGATGATGAAACTTTAAAATTAGCCATGTAAATTATTTATCATATATTAATATAAGTCAGCAGGGGTGCCGGGCACAGAAGAGGTGCTGTCTCATGCACACCCTGGGTATGGCTCAGCTTTCCTCCATAGTAATTTCATCTATACCATTCACAGGATGACAATTTTATATCGTAAGAGGTCCCCTGGTAGTGGGTATTAATTTATAATAGAGGGGAACAGCAGGGAGAAATTTTTTTGTGTGCTCCTTGCCAGTAAAACACACAAACTGCTCCCTGGAGGCACATACAGTTATATATTAAAACATTAGTGATAGCACTAGAGTTAATAAGAGATATAATATACAGTACAGCCATATACAGTACATATTAACAATCCACAAAAAGAGATCGTAGATCCTAAAGGAAAACTCCCTGGATAAATTGTGTTCTGTGCTTTCTCGTGGTTTAAAAACACATCCTCTCAGAAAATGTGTAATGCCGCCTCGATGGGATTCACTATTATCTGAGGTCAAATAACTGAAGACTATTTTTTTCCAGTGAAACATAAAACATAAAACCTTCTATTGTTGTCTGTAAACCATAATAGAACTGCCAGTAACCAAGAGACAAAATGTTTCCAAAGTAATAGAAAACATTAAGCTAGATTAGTGATTGTCACAGTTCTTTAAATGATTCCTCTTCCACATGCAAAATACTTTCAACTGGGGTGCTGAAAATGAAAAATACATATAACGGAACTACTTCAGGCTATTAAGAAACAGTAATTTAGCATCTATTTAATATAACAATCCCTGTATTTTGATCAAGATCTAGCCCTCATCCTGTATAAAAGCAGCATTTTAAACATCTATCCCTTGTCATTCAAGGACTTGGAAATATCTTGCTAAAATAACTTTGTTTAGGAGCTCAACAAGCATTATACTCTCAGCTGCATGAAAAAGTCACATCAGAGAATACGGGTGGAATCTAGAACCAGGTAGGTACAGCTCATCAAGGGTAAGTGGCACCTCCAAGAGTGGACTAGCTGTTACCCTGTTCTCAGAGATTGTCACAGCAACACCCTGTTCCCAAAGGCTTCATCTGTCCATCCTTACAAGCGTGGGCTGGCTAGAAGACCATAATGACAATGCAACCAGAGTCAGATCAATTACATGGCTGTGAATTCTTTCCATTCAAAATCTGACACTGTCTAGGTCTTCTCTGAACACTCCTTAACTCATGGCAGTGTTTATTCATCCTCTTCAGTCTAGTATATTCCGCAACACCGTGTCTCCCAAACTTTCGGCCCCATCATCAATGCATAGCTTACTGGTTACAGCTCATCCGATGCCTCACTGACAACTTCAACTGTTCTATCGCAATTCATAGTATTGTCCTTCACAGTTTTAAGAGAGAAAAATGTTTGGATGATGATAACACCTACCTCACAGAGGTGCTCTGAAGAGGAATGAGAGCTCTGATATCAAATAGTAGGTGCCCCCTGTCTCTACCGTTCATGTAACTAATTACTGAGTCTGGCTTTGTCTCTGCCTTGAATTGGTGTAATAGCTCCCTGACTTCCGTTCCTCTGACAGTTCTGCTCCAGTGCCACTACAGCTATTTCTGCAACACAAACCTGGTTATGTAACTCCCCTGCTTAAAAAGCTTATGTCAAGAGAACCAGCTCCATAGCCCTTAGCTTAATAAGCAACGCTGTCACAAACTGGGGCAGCCCAGATTATTAACCTCATTGACTACATTCCAGAATGTTCCTCGACAACTTTTGACCTTCCATATCTCATTGCATTTGAATGTACTGTTCTCGCTGCTTGGAGTCTTCTCAATTTCTCTACTTGGTTTGCTGGATATTTTCCATTTCTTCTAATCCTGCCAGGATCGTTCTATGGCACCATTCCACCGCTAAGGACCAGAGCATCTGGCTTGCCATGCTTGTCCCTGTCTTGCACCATGTATACCCATATGCATGTGTATTTGTTGAAGAGGGGAAATGAATTTTCATAATTAGTGGCCCCTGACTGACACACCTATGAGTGTGTCAACACTCAAATATACCATTAATAATACATCATATTAAAAGAGCATACCATGTTTCAGTTCCTTCATATACCACAATATGTAGGTTTCATCCTTTTACAGATTGTCAAGTGTCATTGCGAGAATGCAGGTGTTTAAGCACAGAGCTCCTTGTTCTGGGCTTGCTCTTCCATAGCATGTTTTGTGACCTCTGGCTACTATGGCATTTAGCTTGCTGTACAGTTCAAAACATTTACTCTTGAACTTGGAATTCCTTCCTGATTTTGAGGTAGGTTTATGGGGGCTTTGTTTCCAGCTTTTCCTGACAACAGGGACATTCAGTTTTTTTCTGATGCACAAGTATTGCTCTATTTTTTTTTTCATTTGATAAACAGAGAATGAGGTGGGAAAGAGGGGAGAGAAACAGAAGACTGAGAAGATAAAGGAGAAGGGACAGAGAGGTGCGATAAGAAAGGAGAGGAGGGGACCTCCCCTGGTGGCGCAGCGGTTGAGCGCTGGGCTGCGAAGCTGCCCGCAGCCTCTGCAGCGCCAGTTTGATCCCCGGCCACCAGGCGAGGGTCGCGCAAGGGTCCCACATGGCGTGCACAGACCTTTCCTGTCTCGCCCGCTGCTCCCCTCAGCAGTGTACTTCGTCAGTCTGCCTGTTCTGCTCCCTGCTCTGGCTCTGGTGAATTCTCTCACCCTCCTGCACTTCTGACTGTACCCAGTGCTTGTATAAACAAATAAATATTTAAAACACACACATATATATATAAAGAAAGGAGGGGAGAGATACAGAGTCCAGAACGGTGCAGGGGTTTAGAGAAATAGGTGAGTGATAGAGCACAGAGTGTGGAGAAAAGACCAGGAGAAGAATAAAAAAAGATGGGGCGAAGAGCCAATATAGAGGTGAGGAGAGGAGAAACAGATGAGAGATAGGAGGGAAGACATGTGGAGGAGTAATTAGAGAATAGAGGGTGAAAATGGAGAGAGACGATAGAGGGGTGAGAACAGAGGAGAGACAGTAAGAGGGGGCCAGAGATACACAGAATAGGAGCAAAGGAGATCACCTCACCATCTCGCCCTTCACCCCTTTAGCAGGAAAGCAGAGAGATGGAGTCCAGAGGAGACAAAAGAGAGACGCGCGCAGAGAGAGAGGGGAGGGTGATACAGAAGACTTAGGGAGACAGTGAGCAAGAGGGAGGAGATTCAGCGGAGGACAGAGGTAACAGGAGAAGGAATGAAAGGAGACATGGAAGCGCAGGCGTGCTGCGGAGACGGGGGGGGGGGGGGGGCAAGACAGAGGCGAGAGATGCAGCAGCCTTAGGGGGAGAGGAAGGAGAGGCAGAAAGCTATAGACAGAGCTGCGAGACCTGCAGAGTTGAGGGACAGGTGGAGAGCAGCGTGCAGGAGGAGAAATGCAGAGGGGGGAGAGAGAGAGGCAGAGAAAGCAGAGCGCCAGGGAGGAGTAGAGTAGATGCAGGAGAGAAGAGTGAACAAAGAGGTGGCGAGAGAGAGAGAGAGAGAGAGAGAGAAGGCTGGAAACTGAGAGACAAGGTAGAGGAGAGATAGAGGAGCGAGGAGATGAGAAGTGGAGAAAAGTGACAGAGGAGAGAGAAAGAAAGAAAATGAGGAGAATGGAGGGCCTCCCCGGTGGCGCAGCGGTTGAGCGCTGGGCTGTGAAGCTGCCTGGAGCCTCTGCAGCACCAGTTCGATCCCCGGCTGCTCCCCGGCCACCGGAGGAGGGTCCCACATGGCGCGCAGACCTCTCCTGCCGCCCGCTGCTCCCCTCAGCAGTGTACTTCGGTCCTTCTGCCTGCTCTGCTCCCCGCTCTGGCTCTGGTGAATTCTCTCACCCTCCCGCGCTTCTGACTGTGCCCAGTGCTTGTATAAATAAATAAATAAATAAATAAAATGAGGAGAATGGAGAGCAGAGGAGAGTGACACAGACAGAGAGACAGAGGGAAGAAAGAGGCACAGGCCTCTCCAGAGCGAGCGAGGGGAGAGGTCGGCAGGAGGGTGGCCGCACACAGACAGGGCGGAGGAGGAGAGATGGTGAGAGGAGCAAAGGGTCAGGCGCAGATTCGGAAGTCACAGGGCGTGGAGTGTGGAGCACACGAGGAGGAGAAGACAAGAGGGACGTGAGCAAAATAAGAGGAGAGAGGTGGGGACACGGCAGACACGTGGGGAGGTCGGGCGGCGACCAGGGGAGCGCGAGGACAGAGGGGTGAGCAAAGAGACGGCGAGACAGAGAGGAGTGGAGCAGGACAGTGGGCTCGGCTGAGCAGAGGGAGAGAGACGGACGGAGATGCGTGTGGAGGAGAGAGAGCTGAGGCCGGACCCACGGGGGAGCATGGAGGCGCCATGGCGGGCTGGCACGTGTGCAGAGGGGAGAGCCAGCCAGCAGCGAAGGAGGCTGGAGACACGGCGGAGGAGAGAAGAGAGGCTGCATCAGAGAGAGAGAGAGAAGTGGAGGGGATGCAGGACAGAGGGGAGATGAGAGAGGAGAGAGGAGCCCGTGCAGGCCGCAGAGCTGAGGGCGGCGCGGGAGGGGAGAGGCAGGAGAGCCAGAGGGCTGGGGCACGGGGCGCCGCGTGGAGGGAAGGGTGAGACACACAGAGAGGAGGGAGAAACAGGCCAGAAGAAATGTCAGTGAGCCCGGGCGAGGCTGGGGTGAACATGGAGACGCGGGAGAGGGCAGTGATGTGGGAGCAAATGAGCTGAGGAGGCGCAGAGCAGAGCAGATGAGGGAGGGTGGGGGGGAGCATGCAGGAGGGGGAGCAAGACAGGAGGAGAGGGAAATACAGAGAGGGGGACTGGAGAGCGAGAGAATTCAGAGGGGGGGAAGATGGAGGGGGGAGGAGGAAGGCAGCAGCCCTGCTGCGAGGGCAGAGGAGAC